CTCTGTACCTTGAATAAGAACAACCACATCAATTATGTTTCCTGTGTTTCTCCAAAGTCTGCAAAGTCAAAAATAGCACTCTGGTTATCCCACGATAAATAAGATGAGAGCATGCCGAAGGGGCCTGACCAGCTGACTGGGCTCAGGGATTTGTTTTTTTAGCACTGCCAACTCAGACATGCAGTTAATCTGTTTGTGTTTTGGATGCCACATTGAAAAGCCTGTGTGACAAGTGAGTGATCCTGTTACATTTAGCTCATAGTGCACCCAAGGATTGGCTCCCTGGCCAGGGCAGAGCACCCTTCTCAATGAAAGACGCCTTGTTTGGTTTCTAGCTGAGAGAGGTCCTCTTCTTCTGCAAGTACAACTTACCTTCCAACTACGTTGACAGACTTTCTGTTGCCAACTGCTCCATGACAGGTTCTGACCACAGCAAGGTTTAGAGACCTGGTGCTGAGATGCCTACAGACCGGTGTATCCAAGTCTTACAGCTACTACTTTTTGAGCACCTACACAATACAGGTCCTGCCCCAAGTGCTATGCACATGTCATCTCTAATTCTCACACCAGCCCTGCCTTGAAGTGTGGGTATTATTATCTCTCTTTTGCTAATAAGAAAACTGAGGCTATGAGGGGCTAAGTACCTTCTCTCCACACACAGAGTAAGCAACAGTGTCAGGATCCAGTGTCAGTCCTGTCTGCCTCCAAATCCTGTGTTCTCCCTCGTATCACATGGTTTTGGGGAGAGCCCCTGCCCCTTTTGGTGCCTGCAAGGTTGGTATTAGTGCCTACAGAGATGGGGGTTACTTCTCATTCCTTGAGAAGGGCATGTTTGGAGCCTGCACCCCACAGATGTGCTCTCCTGTGGCAGATGCACTTGTGCCTGGGTTGTGAACGGGTCATGACCCAGCTTCCCCAGAAAGAATGCTGTGCTCCGAGGATGCTGGCTGGTCTGCGCTGGGGGAGACAGCCACAGACTGACTGTCCTAATGGAGACTGAGTACAAAGGGCAGGGCAGAAACAAAACAAACCCAGGTAATTGCCCCTGCACTCACTGCCAGGAACAGCTCAGGCAGATAATCGGTTCATCCAGTCTCCACCGGCCTTTGCAGCATGTCTTTCAGCCACCATCATTTTCCTCCAGGCCTCCAGCTTATCCAGTAGCCAAGACTTCTGAGCAAGCTGAAGACAGAGAACTGACCCTCATTTCTACTCCTACACTCACCTCTAGCGACCTGCATGGTGTGTGCTCGTCCTTCCCAACCCATGAGCAGTTTAGCTCCTGCATTCCCAGGTTCCTTCCCCCGTCATGCCCCATCCTACCCCCTCCCCTGCACTCCCTTCTAGTCCACAGCACAGCAATAGTTAAGGGCACCGGGCTCTGGATTTACAGCACCAGGGTTATAAATCCCAATTCTGCCACCTGCACATTATATGACCTTGTACATATCACTCAACCTCTCTGGGCTTCGGTTTCCTCATCCGTAGGTGGGGATAATAACAGTATCTACCTGTTATGGGCTGAATTGTGTCCTTTGAAAATTCATATGTTGAAGCCTAACCCCTAATACCTCAGAATGTGACTGTATTTGGAGACAGTGCTCTTAAAGAGGTGAGGATGGGGCTTTAATCCCATATGACTGGTGAGAAGAGGAAGAGACACCAAGGGTTCAAGGGTAGGTAGGAAAGACCATGCGAGGACACAAGAAGAAGGCAGACACCTGCAAGCCAATGGGAGAGGCCTTCAAAGAAACCAAACCTGCCAACAACTTGATCTTGGTCTTCTAGCCTCCAGAACTGTGAGAAAACATGATTTCTGTTGTTTAAGCCACCCAGTCTGTGGTATTATGTTTTGGCAACCTGAACAAACTAATACACTCCCTCAAAAAATTTTTGCAAGGATCCAACTAGGGGAACGATCTAAGTTGCCCAGCAAGGTTCTGGCTCCTGAGTGTTTCCTGCTAGCACTTCTGCTTCTGAGTGTGCAGCCGCTGACTTCCTGCACCGCTCCTCTGGTAAGTGCCAGTGCTTGTCAGGCTCTGAGTCCTTGTAAGAGCTAAGTAAGTTCTTTAAGGGCCCAGGTGTGAGATTTCTTGCTTCCACTCCCCAGTCTACCCAAGTGCCTCATCTGTAAGAGGTGCTCAAAAAACATTTGCAGATTCAAGATTCTTTCAACAAATGTTTGGGGACTAGAGAGGTAAACAAAGCAGAAGCTCAGGAAGAAAGCAGAGCAAAGTCTCTGCCCTGGGGGAGCTTAGAGTCTGATCCTGTGATGTAATTTGCCTTGAGCAGTTTTCTTTTGCATTCACCTGAGAAGCAAGTGAGCTAAGTGGAGATGCTGGTTTGGCTCCCTGGTGACTCCAGTGTGAGAGAAGACACCACTCGGTGCACACTTCGTGCCTACTGTGTGCCGCACCCTTCCCATGGTAACCTACTTAGTGTTCATAAATGCCCCACGTGGTTGGCTATGTTATTATTATTTTAGTTCTAAAGAAGAGAAAACTGAGGCACAGAAGTAACTTCCCTAGGATCACACAATTTAGAAAAGTTAAAGCTGGGATTCAAACCCAGACAGTCTATCATCAGAGCCCAAATGATCAGGAAGGGTGTGTTGATGAAACCCTGGTCAAAGGCAGTTGTCTCAGGCCTGTGGCTTTCCTGTTTCCATGGCTGGGCATCCAGCCACTGTGACCAGGAGGCTGGGCTTGGAATCCCCTCTCATGAAGGGACAGCATGTCCCACCCTCTCCCTTCAGCCTTCAGGGCTTTGTTCCACCTCTCCTGGACAGGACACAAGTACAGACCCTGCAATGGACTGAATGTTTGTGCCCCCCTGTCCCCATATATATATTGAAACCATAATCCCAATGTGATGGTATTTGGAACCGGGGCCTTTGGGAGATGATTAGGTTATGAGAGTGGAGCCCTTGTGATTGGGATTAGTGCCTTCATATATTGAAACCCTAATCCCAATGTGATGGTATTTGGAAGTGGGGCCTTTGGGAGATGATTAGGTTATGAGAGTGGAGCCCTTGTGATTGGGATTAGTGCCTTTTATAAGAGGCCAGAGAACTAACCAGCTCTCTTTCCTCTGTGTGAGTATATGTTGAGCAGTCAGCAGTCTGCAATCCAGAAGAGGAACCTCCCAGAACCCAACCATGCTGCCACCCTCACCTTGCACTTCCAGCCTCCAGAACTGTGAGAAATAAATTTCTGTTGTCTATAAGCCACCCAGTCTATGGTACTTTGTTATAGCAGCCCAAACAGACTAAGAGATTCTAAGTAAGAAGTATCCACAGGAGGGAGTTATCTCAGTGACATCTTTTGTCTCCCTGTGGCCATGGCTCTCACTTTGTTGATGTAGATAATAGGATTTGTTTTATTCTACATGTACCGCATTTTGGTGAGAGGCCAGGCATATTGCTAAGTGTCTTATGTGTGTACGAGCCTTCTTTCAAGGCCTAGGAAAGAGAGCTCAGATACCAAAGCAGGTTCCAGACTAAGCAAACACTCCAGGGAGCAGGTAGAGACCCAGTGAGAGGGCACTGAAAACCTGTCCCATGGAGAAAATACCAGGGCTGGAGAGAATTTGTGAAGGCTTTTGGAGAGAGCTGTTTGTGTGCCCTGAGCCCCACTCCACCGGAAGGAGGGGGGAGGAATGCCTATCTCTCATCTCACTCCCAGGGAGAGCCTGGCATGGGTCCCTGGCATGGGTCCCCTACCATGCTCAAGGACCCAGGTGACTGGTGTCTGATTCCAGCTAGGAAAATCAATAATGTGAGCAGTGGGCTGGCTGGGGGCCATGGCCGCAAAGCAAAGGACAGCAGCTGCTGCCTTGTAATTCTATGGGGAACAAGGACTAAATGCTTCCACTGGGCGAGTTGGGCCTCTTGAGAGAAAGACTGGCAGGAGTTTATCCTGGGACCTGTCCAAGACGGTGGGCCAGAGGGGTAAACAGACTGCAGCAGAGAGAAGCTGGGGCACTGTCCAGGAAGGACCAGGCCACCAGCCGGAGTGGACTCATTCACCCTCACTGGGGGAACTATAAGGGGGATTCCCAAGATACAGGGTCTCCAATGAACCAAGAAGGACGCACTAGAGTCCTCCCAGGCCTAGAGAGCCCATGGCCTATCCTGGATGGCATCTGCATCAGGTGTCACTCCCTTCCCTCCCCTTCCTCCCCTCCACTCACTCCTGGAGGTGTCAGAAACCCCAGGTGGCAATAGGGGTAGGAGGAGAAAAAGGGCAAACCTGGAAGGAGAGAAGCCAGCCACAGCCCCTTTGCCAGTGGTGGGCCTCCAGTCTGCAGCAGCCCCAGCCCATTGCCCAGTCTACAAAACTGGGGGTGATCATTTGCATCACAAAAGGCGTTTTCATTTAATCCAAAGGAATTACCTTTGAAGAAGCATCAGCTTTCTTTTACAGACAGACATCTCTGGTGCATTTCAAATTGTTTGGAATGTTAAGGTTTTGTATCTCTCTCTCTTACCACTCCACCTGAAGAATGAGCTCTTGTGAGCAGACACTGTGCCTTATCTTCCTTTGGTAACCTCCATGGAAGCTGTCACCAGAGACACTCAATGATCTGATGGGCAATACACACCTTTCAAGGACACACTGATTGTGTAAAGGAAGGAGCAAGATCAACCCCTGCGTTCTCAGATTGTTACAGCTGAACAAACATACAAACCATCTGAGCCTTTTCTCTCCCTGCATTTTCAAGCCGTAGGTGGTACTAATAAAAATACCGCCTCACATTGGTATAGCACCTCACAGTTTCAAAGCCACTCTCATAACCCAAAGTCACCCTCCACCCTCATGCTCATCCCCAAACCATTCCCCTCTTGTTTCCACCCACACACCTGCTTTTCCCGATGACCAGCCCTGTGCCAGCCTCTGCCAGGATGAAGTCGCATGCTCCCCCAGGGGGTCCATGTGTTAATGTGAAGAGTTTCCTCACAAAGAGTCAGCTGGCCAGAAACGTGGGCAGAGAGCAAAGGGCAGCTTGTTCAGGTTCTGTTTATTATGTTCTCACAGCCTTGTGTATAGTAAAGGTGAATGACATTACTCCACTTGACACGGTCATGAAACAACTGAATGAGGACTCCATTGGCCGAGTGGCTTATGCGGCAGATGAGCTGCTACAGATCTCTTGTGCTCACTGCGTGACTCGGCTGATGCCCCTGTGGCTGGGGTGCAGACCGAGCCTGGCCACCTTCTCCGCACCCGGCAGAGGGCAGGGAGCAGAAGGATCGAAAGGGAGTAAGGATCAAGAAAGGAACGATTTATTGAGAGGACCCAGATCCCAAACCTGGGAAAGCCAGTGGCCCCATCCTGAAGTCTCCCCTTTCAGTCCACAGCATTTTGTGGAGTCCAGAGAGGCCACAGGGACAGGAGGACACCTCAGCTCTTGGCTTCTTCCTCCACAGTCTCATGCCAAGTGGCACGGTGGCACTGGCTCTCAATGCCAGGAGTGACTTTGCCACCTCTCTTGCCTCTAACGTGAAGGGATACAGACTTAAAGAAAGCTGGCACTCGGCAGATTGAAAGATGGCCTAGGATGGAAAACTGTCATGCCTCTGCCCTGCTTGCAGGAGAGTGGCTCTCAATGCCAGGAGTGACTTTGCCACCTCTCTTGCCTCTAACGTGAAGGGATACAGACTTAAAGAAAGCTGGCACTTGGCAGATTGAAAGATGGCCTAGGATGGAAAACTGTCATGCCTCTGCCCTGCTTGCAGGAGAGCACAGACAGGGTCAGGAGAGTCCTGGGCACTCTCGTGGATGGGAGACCATCCTGCCTCTGAATGGGCTACGTGCCGCCTTTCCCTCTGACACATGGAGAAGCAGACACCACATCGGCAGCTTGTCTGTCCTGCCCTGCTCCTTCCTCTCCAGTCTTCCCCATTCCCAACCTCCTCCAGCTCTTCACACACTAGGTTCATAGCACAAAGGGCCTGGGGCACCAGGACACACCCTACCGAGGAGAAGTGCCCAGGGCGTGCCTCCAGAGGCAGGGCCTGCAGCCCGGACAGACGCTACTTCACAGCTTTGGTTTATTCACAGCAGCAAGTTCTGGGGAGAGCACCAGAGAGCAAAATCAGCTAGGTACTCCCCAGCTGCCCCTCCAGCCTAGGACCAAAGAGGGCATAGGAAGGGGTTGGAACAAAGATCAAAACCCTACTGTGGCCTTACAAAGCCTCACAGATCTTGATATCCCCAGGATGTGACACCTTCCAGAGAGAAAGGTGGAGGTCACTATGCTACTACTATTACCACTAGCATGACACTCTTACCCACTACCTGAGCTCTGGCTACCATGTTGCATGGCCTTGGGTACAGGGCACAGCCCAACACAGATGGCCAAACAAAGGAGCGCATGAAAACAAATGGGAGACAGCCCCCAGAGCAAGCTTGGAGGAAGCCTGCGACAGGACTCAGACACACAACAGAGCTTGGATCTCTTGATCAAGTAGCCTTCGCTCCCCACCTTTGGCATACCTGCTGCCAAACAGTGCACATAACTTGGGCCAAAGCAGTCTTATGTCCAAGGAGCACGTCAGGCTGAGAGGGCACAGAGGGCAGCTGGCTGGCGGGTTTCCTGGTCACTGTGCTTGTCTGTGTCTGGGCACGCTCTTGTCCCTGGACCCTCACAGCTGTACTTTACCTCAGCCGTGTTCCTTCTCACTCCTCAGGCCAGTGCTTCCTAACCCCATCTGCACACTGGAGTCACCTGTAGAGCTTTAAGAGCTACTGACGCCTGGGTCCCTACCAAAGAGCTTCTGATTTAGCTGTTCTGGGGTGGGACCTGCGACATGCGAGTTTTTAAAGCTCCGCACGTGATTCTAATGAGCAGCCAACGTTGCAAGCCACAACGTCCACAGTCTACTACACACCCAGGAGCTTATTAAAAATGCAGATTTCTGGGTCCCATCCCAGTTCTGTCAGATCAGCATCTCTGGGAATGGAACCTAGGAATTAGCACTTGTAACAGTCTTTCCAGGTGACCCCTGTGCATGCTCCAGTCTATTAAGAAATGCAGAGTGCCTCAGAGGCTCCTTCCCCAGTCCAGAGGTGCCCAAGGCTGTGACTGGTTGACATGGACTGTGCTCTCTTTACTTCACCAAAGACAACGGAAAATCTCACACCCGCCCCAGAACAGGTTAGTACTCCAGTGGGGCTAAAGACCACTCAGGGATGGAAACGTTCTAAACAGCAGTTCTAAACGTCACAGCTCTGCCCAGCTTACTGTCTGGACTTGCCTTGAGCCTACACACACCCCAGGACCAGAGCAAGCCTTGAGTCCAGAAGGCAGCCCACTGCACAAGCCTGGTGTGAGGAGCAAAGGGAAGACGGTAAGTGGAAGTGTCACCTGCCAATGCCACAAGGTGCGTCAGGGCTTGGGGAAGAGCAAAGAGGAGACAGGGCGGGGCTGGGAGACATGGAAGCTCAGGGATGAGGTATGCTTGGATATTGCTCTAGATGTTGTAAACATTTCTCTTTGTTTCATCACAGATCAAAATCTGGGTTGGCATGACCAATGTGCCTAACGTCGGCATCAGAGCAGAGGGCTCTGTGCCTTTCATGGGAAGCAGGGTAGGCAGGGTGTGAGGAAAGCTCCCCACCATGGGAAGACCATGTCTGCGGTGTACTAGTCTAATGCTCACAATTTTCACATGCACGCGAACACAGAGACACTCCACAGGAGTGCCACAAATATAGCTATCGTGTTCCTCTACACATGCACACACGCCCACATCCCTTTGCTTAGCTGCAAAACTCAGGATACCCAAGCTTGGTCCTTCACACCTCCCC